CCGTGGTGGGGGTGTGGATGGGGGAGAGTGTGGCTGAGGGAGCTGACAGAAGTGAAAGTTCTGGGCACAGTGAGCCTCACAGAAACCTCAGCTCTACTATTTCTATTTATGAGCAAATGTGCCGGCAAATGGGGGTGTGTGGTGGGAGGTGTGACACAGTGGTATAGCACTTGCTAGGCATAGAGCGGCCTTGGGTTCAAGCCCTATCCCCTACCAGATAGCAACAAACACTTGGTTCAGAGGCAAGGGAAGCCTGCAGTTTCTTTGGCCAGGAGCTACAGCCACCACACACAGCAGGAACTTTTGAAACGGAAAATTCCCGTCACTTTGGAGCAGGTGTGCATGTGTGTAGGGGTTTCAGAGGACAGCCTTGGAAACTGGCCCTCCCCTCCACCGAGTTTTGAGACAGGGCCTTGTAAAGGAGTATTCCTGGAATGGAGCTTTGTCTACAGAGGCTGATTAACAGATCCCAGTGATGTACAGTTGAGCCTAATGCCAGGCTACCTTGAGTCTCCTAAATAGCCATTCCTTGACCACCTCTAACATTCTGTGGCTAACAGATAAAAAACCTCCTGGAATGTATTGAATTAACAAAACCCTATTTTCCACCAATGGTAGCGACTGACAGCATCTGAAGCCTGTAGTGGAGATTCTCCCACTTTGCCATAACCGCCTAACTCATGTTCCCAATGATGCATTTGAAATGTGTCTTGATTTATAATTCTCTTTGTTTTGTTACTATAAAAACTTCATGAGCCAGGGGGCCGTGGTAGCACATGCCTTTAATCCCATCACTTGGGAGGTAGAGGCAGGTGGATATCTGTGAGTTTGAGGCCACCCTGGTCTACAGAGTGACTTCCAGGACAGCCAGGGCTGTTACACAGGGAAACTTTGTCTCGAAAAATCAACCAACCAACCAAACAAACAAACGAATGAACCTAACAACCTTCATGAGACTACTTCATGCTGGAACATGGAGTTTGGGGTGACCTAATCTGCATTCCTGACTATGGTCACTCAGCTCCAGAACAAACTCATCCCTTGCAAAGGGGATGTCCATAGCCCCTTGTTCTCTGCTGCATCTGCTAGGTTAGCCGGCCTGAGAGCTTCAGGTGACTCAGTCTCCTGCCTCCACCTCCCATAACGATGCACAGGGATTAGACACGTGTAAACTGTATCAGCTTCTATGTAGTTCTGTGGATCCAAACTCAGGTTGTCAGGCTTGCTGGTGAGCATTTTACTGCACAGCCATCTTCCAGTGACTGACCACCTGCTCAGAGCACCTCGTTCTTTACAGTGAGGTGTCAGGGTATGGCTTTTGCTCCGTGGCTCAAGTTGGGCTCAAGTGAAGCATGAACCCACAGGATGGCATCTCAAAGCCACATACACATGGCGAAGCCAGTAGTAGATGGGTGATGGCCTGGAGTGGGATGTGGGGAGTTTTGTTGAATGGAGGCATATTTGGTTTTAGAAGACTCCATTCTGTATATGTATTTCATTTTCTTTATCCATTTAGCTGCTGACAGACCTCTAGTGGTTCCATTTCCTGCCTACTGTGCCTAGTGCAGCGATAAACAAGGATGTGCCATTGTGTTGACTTACAATCCTTTGGGTTGTAAGCTGGTGAGAAGTGGTGCAGCTGGGTCATGTGGTGGCTCTGTTTTGAGTGTTTTCGAGGAACCTTCACATTGATCTCCATAGTGACTGCACAAGCTCACACTCCCGTCAGCAGTGACAGAGGTTCTTTCCTCACATCCTCACCAGCATTTGTCATCGGGTCTTTTGGTTTTCGTTTGTTGAGACAGGCTCTCATTATTATCTCAGGCTAGCCCAAGACTCGTGTCAATCCTCCTACCTCAGCCTCATTTTTTCTTGACGACAGTTTTCATTCTGACTGGGTAAGGTAGGATCTCAGTGCAGTGCTTAATATTGTAGTTACTAGTCACTTTTCTAATTTACAGCTGGAAAATAACTTTTTTTAAATTCCATAGACATCAGAGCAATTTCACACAAGCCCATTCATGATTCTTGGAGTCCTTGGCAGAGAGTCCTGGCCTGTGCCTCTCTCTCAAAGTACACTGCCTATGCTTTCCCTGGCAGTTTTCCATCTTGCCTGAGAGTTCATTTTGAGTTGATTTTTGTACAGAGTGAGATATATGGGTCTAGTCCCACCCTGTTGCATGTGTACACTCAGTTTATCAACTGTGAATTTCTATATTGTCCATCATACCTTGAACAAAGAAACTTCTCTGATGAGACCCGAGAATAGCACTAGTCTATGGGTGGTTTGGTACTCTGTCCTTTAGCAAAATAATAGTAGTATGTTCCCCCCCTGGAGCCTATGAGCTCCCCCAACTATGGGTTCTTGGCCAGATTCACAAAAACAAAACAAAACAAAAACAAAAACAAACCTAGACATGCATTTCCTTCTGCAGAACAGGCTTTGGATCCAATCATAAAGTTCTTGGTTACTCCTCTATCATTTATACCACCATTTTATCCATGGCTATATATTGTCTCCTAGACCCAGAAAAACAAACGTCAAATTTTCTCACTCACATACGGGTTCTAGCCCTGAATTTTTAGATTTGCATGTTTAACTTGAAATGCCTGCACAATCCAAGAAACTAGAAAGGAATCATTGATGGGAAATGGGGAAAGAAAGATTTCCCCCCCTAATTCTGTGAAGAAGGTCATTGAGATTTTGATGGAGGATTATGTTGAAACTGTATATTGCTTTCAGTAACAGCCATTTTCACAATGTTGAGTCTAGGAATCCATGAGAATGGACGGCCTCTCCATCTTCTAGTGTCTTCTTCATTTTCTTTCTTCAGTGTCTTGAAGTTTTTCACTGTCGAGGTCTTTTACCTCTTTGGTTAGATTTTTTCCTGGGTATTTTTAATTTTTTAAGATTTATTTTTATTTTATGTACATTGGTGTTTGCCTGCATGTGTGTCTGAGTAAGGGTGACAGATCCCCT